ATAAGTTTAAAAATGAATCATTTCATGAGTAACTATGTTGTTTAGTAACATTTAAACATTTTCAAAATGTTTTGTTCTCTACAGTTCTAAGTCCCGTGATGTAGTGAATTATTTACAATGAGCCATTATAGTGCTAAACATTTTTTTTTTACTCATTCAAATACAATTTCCCTAATATACCTCCTTCTCAAAGCGGATATCTGGCAAAATTACTGTGGTTGTTAACAATTTAGAAAAATCTAAAACTGGTTTAGTTTTTCCTAACCTACCATCTGGTTAGCGTACAAATTAATTTTTACTTAAGCATTCATAGAATGTTGAATTTAAATACCTATATTCTATAAGGCTTGTACATATAATAATCACATTTTGTATTTCTTACAAAATATAACATTATAGCTTCAAAACTTTAAGTCTTTTAATGTATAAATACTCTAAAAACAAATAAGAGTCAAGAACATGGTCTGGTAATGGCATGGTAGGTTGTATAGTTATAGGTAACTATAACCTACCTATACATTTTATTTTCGCTCGAATTTTCAGTTTATACTATTTAGGTTGTCTTAAAATGTAATAATTCAATTTTTTACACCACAAAAAGAATAAATTAACACTTAATAATTGTTTAAGCTGAAAATCCAATGGGTCATTTACTCATTTACATACTTGGACCACGGGAACGAGATCCCCCCCCCCCCATTCAACAACATATCCGGGCATGCCATTGTTTTAAATACTACTCTCAAACCACTAAACACCTATCTCGTTTCTTATATTTTCGTAGTATTTTACCTAGAAATTACATTTAAAATATTTTATCAAGTACACAAAATTACCACACAGTGACTTGTCAAGGTAAGCCATAAAACTGTTGATGTGTTAACTTGATGAGTTCAGTTTACTCATCAGCAGTTTATACATAATATTCTATTTTATCAGTCAGAGGCTCAGCTGCAGATAATATTAATTATTGTATGTTGGTTAAATAACAATGTTGAATACCTACTGCTTAGTGCCTACAATAATTTTAGATATAGTATTAGATTTTTCTAAAATAATGTATATACGCTTAACTAGTCTAATCAATAATAGCGTTATTTATGCTAAGAGTCAATTACCTAATTACGTAATACGTTTCACTTGTTACAATTGTTATTAAATAATTATTTATATCAGCACCTACTCAATATATATTATACAGCTTTGTATTTTTTTTTTTTGCATGACAAATGATTTTTTTAAATATGTTTTAGGAAACTGGTAGTTGTATTTTGTCATTTACAAATAAAATCGAAATGATAGTCATTGTTGTCAAACTGCATAGTATTGTGTCAGAGAGGAAAACTTAATTTTTAGAACAAATACAAATATCGGCGATGATGCTGAAATACATTAATTGATGAATTAACTGAGTTATAGTGGTCCGCTATTGTTTTTGATCATTATTCATTAGCTAGAACTGTGTGTTTATAATAGAACAATAATGATAATAATAATAATAATAATAATAATAGTAATTCTAGATATGGAAGTGGTTGTAATGGGTAAACATTCTGTATTTTGTAACAATCAATAAAATAAAATATGTCATATAATATTAATTTGTAAATAGTACATACACGTCTATCTTTATGTGCTTTTCTATGGAAAATCATAAAGGATAAATTACTTTGGGATTAAAATACAGAAAAAAAATTTTAAATATTATTTTTCCTTGAACTTCTATAATTATTTTAGAAAATATGATATGTTTCAATCCTTTTTATACTCCATTTTTTTCATTGGTTTTGAATTGCCATAGGGATTGATGCAAAAGCATTCTATTATAAAAACAATTTCTATCAAAAATGTAGTATCTTCTATGTATTATATCTACATTTATATATAATATATTGTTTAAAATTATTACCCAACCCTGAGTGAAATTTATAATTAAAAAATTGATTTACATACTTGCAATTTCCTATAAGTTCATGCAACTCATAACCGTGTCTGTATCATTTCAACTGATAATTGATTTTATCATGTGATGATTATTATTTCACTATTTAATAAATAAATGTATAACCTATACCAAAAGCCAAAAATCAACAAAATGGCAGTGTGTCAAGGTGTAGGTATATTATTATCCCTTCCAAATCGTTTTGTCGACAATTCGGTATAATTAAATGATAATAAACATTTATTGCATAAAATGAAAATATAGATTAAATTAAATAATATAATATATTATTTTGTAAAAATAAAAGTAAATGGTAAATTTTCTTAAATACCATAAGCTATGAATAATGGCGATAATGCCAAATTACGTTCATTTAAATAATATAAATACATTTTTGTTAAATTATCTTTATTTAACATTACATTAAAAACAATTATTAAAGGCGTTTTTTAAAGTTTTGTATTATTATTAGTGCATTAAGTCGTATTGTCAAAAGACATTTTCATGTTTTTTTATAATATTAAAATCCACGCACTAACTATAACTGATAAATGTATGTCTTTTTTAATTTATTTAAACATATTTTTCTTAATATGTGAGTAAATATATTAGGCAAGTGTTTAATAGTAGTTACTTAACTATAATGTACATAGATAGTATTAACATAATTAAAATGTATACTTGACACTTTATTATTTTTTATATATTACATTAATAAAGTCCATAACTAAGGAAAAATATTTGTGCGACTTTTTTAGTAAAAATAATTCTTTGAAATTGGTATAATAATATATATAATATTTGGATGAAAAAAAAATAAAAATATGGGCTTAGTATGAACTTTAAGCCACTGTTGTTTTGAAAATTTTATTTTCATTGAAAATGTTCTGCACTACACCTTGTCATTAAGTATTCCGAAATATTAATGATAGGTAGGCACTATTGAATTATATTAATGTCCACTGCACAATTAATTTTGTTTTAAAAACATGTAGAATTTAGGCACCTTTGCCGCATTAAATTGAAATACTTTATTTATTTATTCTTTATTTTTTCATTGAGACGGCTACAATAGCAAATAGTAATTACGTGTTTAGTGTGGAAAATATAATGTCAGGTGGTTGTAAGACATGTCTTAGTTTCAATCATTGTTATTGTAGAAACGAAACGTATACTTATTATTAAAGGTATTTTCCACATTCTTTAACAATATTCCATTCGCACAAGTGACACATTTCAATTTTAGACAATTAGGTGTAAGTAATTCTTACTGACATAGTTATGATTATAAAAAAAAAGTATTGGTGATGGCTCTATTTCAGTACAGTGTATGTACCTATTATGTAATCATGTATAGGCGCAATGGGAGGAGGAGCTTCTCCGAAACTCCTCAATGTGTGGTTCAACCTATGATGTATACCATTTACCTGTACTTAAAAATGTACTTAAAACTGTATATAAATATTATGTTATATATTTCAATTTTAATTTATGTACCTATTGAATACGTTTTTTATTCGTAACCTCCTACACGACGAATCCTACACACGGGTCGTATCAAACACTATTGATTAAGCCCAATGTAAATTTTGTTTCGTGTATAATTCGTTAAATTAGATAATAATCGTTAAAATAATAAGTCGTGTTACTTACTTGTTGTGTTTGAACCACGCCAGAGATTGTACCTTCCAAATTCGCCGACGTACCGCCTCGCTGTGCTCCCAATAAGACCATCAGGGACGATGCATCCATCGTATGAGTGGAATTTGTCGATTGTCCTACGTTGAATCGTTGATTTTTTTTTAATAGATACCATTCGATTGTAGCCATTGGTCGAGATCCTTTCGAACGACACTCGGCTTGATACACCCGGTCGGCTCTTATTGTATATTTCTTGTGACCGACTGTATCTTCTGACGCGGACACATCATTTTTCTCGATCGCGTGGCTTTCATTACTTTTCAAATGGTTTGCGTATCCTTTTATTGATATGATTTGTACTTCGGTGGGTTTCACTGTAAAACGATTTTTAGTTAATATTTATCCACCAACGGTAAAAATATGAGTTGCATTATTTTGTATCTATATCCATGTATTGCATATTTTATACGAGACAACATAGTTATACTTATCATCGATGATAACATTATCTTTTAACATTTATTAGAATATAATATACAATCTGAAAGCGAATAATAGCAATATTACAATAAGTATATGTGCTTAAAGATATAATATTAGCAATGAATGCTTGAGGAGAGTAGCTCCTCAGCAGTAACATTCGACGATATAATACCAGTTTAGCTAGTTAAGTCGCGACACCGATAATAAAAATATATATACACCAAAAAGGTACCTAGAATCGAAGAAATAATATAAATATTTACAACATATGAATAATGAAAACATCAATTTATTACGATTAAAAGAATTCACAAGTGTCATAAAGTAGTAAGTACTGCAAATTTGGCCGCAGTGAATAATATGAAATAATTATCATACAGCCACACTGGTAGGTAATATGAATTTAAAGTGATTATTAGGAATAGGTAATTCTTTAAACTAAAAAATGCAATGTGGCGTATTTAATACACAATTTTTTAGTGGTAGGGAAGGGGTGTTATTTTAAAGAATACCAGTTTTATAAGTAGGGCTCGGAAGTTGTTGCATTTGCATGATTTTTTTGAACCATTAGATTTATTACTAAGTGAGCTAGAAATTCATTCCAAGACACTACGAAAAACATATCAAAATTTTTTAGTGCATATTTTTGCATATTTTGTGATTTTTAGATTTTAGAGCATATTTCTTAATTTTACAATTTTTTAGAGCATATTTTATAATTTATGGAGATTCCATATGAAAATTTGTAAATAAAAAAAATAAATACATTCATATTGAGAGACCTTACTAGATATTCTTGTATCGTATTTTTCAAATTTCTATTTGATATTAAAAATAATGTTTTTCCCCTATTGGTTAATATAATATAATATTAATATATAAAAAATATAGTGTATATATTATATTTATAAATTACAACTACAGCTAGCTTTATCTAAAATAGAATATTATACAAATTTAAAAATAGAAACAACAGCTATCGAAATACGACAATTTTCTATAAATACTTTTCTAGAAAAATAACTCAATGATTATTGTTAATGGCATTAATAGACCTACTGCTAAACCGTTTAGATATTTTTGTCAGTTCCAGCTTATACGTCCGTCTTATCTGTTCTGTTGTAGTTGTACGCGTCGTTCTTGTTTCAATTACCTACTTATATTATTTTTATTTCATTATGCCGAAAACCAAACAATCTGCGACAAATCGTTTGAATAGTTTTGTTTTGGAATATGGTACGGATATATTCAAAACCGACGGAAGTATTTTATTCTGTAAGTTATGTGAAGTGAAGGTCAACAGTGATCGAAAATTTGTAGTGACTCAACACGTTAACACTGAGAAACATAAACGAGCGGTTATTAGAAAAAACGAAAAAAACAAAAATTCTGAAATCCAACAGCTAGTAACTAATACTCCGAAAAAGTGTCTTTTTTCACACGATTTGTGTAAAGCATTATTGTCGGCAAACATACCACTTTACAAAATAAGTAATCCTCAATTAAAATCATTTTTAGAAAAGTATACGTCAAGAGAAATTCCTAGTGACTCGACACTACGCAAAACTTATGTCAACGACATATACGAAGAAACTATGACAAATATAAGAGAACAAATTAAAGGAAATAAAATATGGGTGTCGATTGACGAAACTACTGATTCTGAAGGAAGATATGTAGCTAACGTTATTATAGGAACTTTAAATACTGACGCACCGGGAAAAACTTATTTGCTAACAACCGAAGTTCTGGAAAAAGCGAATAATTCGACTATAGTAAAACTTTTTGATCATTCAATGTTCGTCCTCTGGCCAAACGGAATTCGTCATGATGACGTCCTACTGTTTGTGACCGATGCCGCACCATACATGGTGAAAGCTGGGCAAACACTTCAATCACTGTACTCTAAAATGATACATTTAACATGTCTCGCACATGGTATCCATAGAGTAGCCGAAAATATACGGGAAAAGTTTAAAAAAGTTGATAAACTTATTTCCCGGGTTAAACAGGTATTCTTAAAGGCTCCTTCACGTGTTTTAGTGTTTAAAAGTGAAGCACCAGCCATACCACTTCCACCAGAGCCTATATTAACTAGATGGGGTACATGGATAATGGCAGCTTCCTATTACTGCAAATACTACAAAGTTATACGTAGAGTATTACTAAGTTTAAATGCTGAAGATGCCATTTCTGTTAAAGAAGCTCAACAGTTAATTCAAGAACCCGATATGGAAGCTAATTTGGTATACATACATTCAAATTTTGGATTTATACCGGAATATATAACGAAACTTGAAACACAATATATTTCACTATCCGAAGCATTATCTGCGGTTAAATATGTTCAAAATAAATTAAACGACTGTGAAGGTGAAATCGGTGTTGCGATATTTCAAAAATTAAATAATGTATTGGAGAAAAATTCTGGCTTTAAAACGATACTTAATATTTCAAAAATATTAAGTGGACAAGAAAGTTCAATGGAAGGTCTTCCTGATGATTTGACTGGTGACGATATTACATATTTCAAATATGCGCCGATTACGTCAACTGATGTTGAACGTAGTTTTTCAAGGTACAAAACTTTGCTTGTGGATAATCGGCGATCATTCAATTTTGAAAACATCAAAAAAAGTTTAGTGGTCCAATGTAACACTTTTGAAGGTAGGAACAAAATTATATCTAATGCATTTAAATTTTTAATTAAAATGCTTTTTAATTATAGGCAGGTACCTGGTGGTTTTTCTAATTTGTATTTATTTGTTTCAGGTATATAAATATAGCTCGACAGATGTGCATTTTTTTATTCAAGGAGCATTTTTCATTTTAAAAGCGATTTTTTTAATTATTATTTTTATTTTTATTTTTTGTGTTAAAATTATATGATTAAAAAAATTTAAATAAATATTGTTTATATAACTTTGTTTTTTTTTATTTACAAATTTAAAAAAATATTTGTGCAAATTAAAATTTTGTGTAAAATAATTAAATATAAGTGCATATTTTTAGAGCATATTTGCACTTTTTTAAGTGCATAAGTGCATGCATATTTAGTACTTTTTTAGTGCATTAAGTTCCGAGCCCTATTTATAAGCCTCAATAAAATGCAAAAATTAAATTTCAATCAGTTTTTTATTTACGAAGGATATATTATTTCTGAGATATAAGTATAACCGTAAAGGATAGATTTATAAGCAGAATATTATTACGATGAATGTTATCAGCATTGGCCGACGCTCTACGCGTTATGAATCACAGTTTACCAAACAACGGCTGAGTAAAACCCCAGCAAGTACTGGTGATAGTCTACCAAACAAAAATTGATAATATTGTCGAAAAAACAGACATTGAAATTATTTTATGTATACCTATCATAGTTTTTAATTTGTATAGCACATTATTCATATCTACAGGTATTTCAATAAAATGGAAAATAAAAAGTTTTATAGTGATAATCTGTTTTCTATAAATGCAATAAAATATGTATATAGGTTCAGTAAATATACAAGTGAATAGGAAGGAAAGTCAATATTATATATCTTATATCAAAATCATAACCGGGCTTAATCATAATGGCTTGATGCACCTATTTAAGCAGCCATGATTTTAGTGCACAATATTTCGTTCTGCACAGTCATATTTCTTTTGTATATATATAAAACACTTAGTTCTACAAACACTCCCATAGACCATTATAAATATTATTATCTCAAAATGTGTGTTATTACTTATTATTAATTATAAGAATTTCAATCTAAGTCTTATACTTCTTGAATATTATTATGATGTATGGTAATATGTGAGTTGAGTCAAATCTATGATATTTGAAAAAAAAAATGAAGTATTTTTCTGTTAATGTACATTATTATAGCTTGCTGATGCATATAATGTTAATAAAATATATGCTTCTAACAGATTTCTGTTGCAACTTTTAGAACTTAAAATACTGTAGTAGTTTAAAATGATATAAATCAATAGGTGTAAATGTAATATGATTATTTTGATTTAAAAACACAACTAATGCATATTGTATATTTAACACAACTAGTACATTTTTAATTCATATTTTTTTTTATTATTTGTCACTTGACATTGACCTTTATATTATATAGTCACTATATAATGTCCAGAACTCAAAATTTAAAATTAATAATTACCAACTATATACTTATACCTACTTTTATGTTTTAACAAAACAGTTTAACTCGTTTATCGCTACATGGTTCATGTTACAACTACACGCAGTATACACACTTTTCTTACCGTATATTGTGTATCGTATCGCACACTAAAACGGGGGCTATATATTTTATGTTTTATTTGTTAATATTAATTTAGTTAAATAAACATAATGCCTAATTAAACCATTTTTAATAACTTTTATGAAAAATTATTATGACGTATAAGGCGTTATTCAATTCCCAACTATTACGATTACTAAAACTAGGAACTTATTAAGTGTTTTACAAGCAATGCAAACTATACCAAGGGAAAAATTAATAATATGAAACATTTTGTAAAACTTAAATGGACAATATTATTACACATTTTCATCTTTTACGACGAGATTAAGAAATTTTCTAGAATATGTTTACATTTTGAATCTTATATGACACTTACATAAACTCAGCGTGTAAGACGTTGGAAGTGCAACATGGCTTAATTCCAAAGAATCTCTTTCTAGGTTCAAACACATCAAACCACAGTGATATTTTTAGTTTAATATATCATAGGCCATAGGTACATAAATGTATATTATTAAAATGTGTACCTAATTTTAAAACCTATCCCTATATAAGAATTTAAAAAAAAAAGCCACAAGTCAAAATTAATACATAAGAACTGATTAAAAAATTATGTGGAATATAGAACATGATACATAACTAACATAAATCTTCAAGCAGTTTACTGGTCGGTAGTTTCAGATTAAGAGAAAAAATATTGTACGAGTGTTAATTAAAATAACATTACAGCGTTTCCTTAATTATAAATTAATTTTACCACTTAATAAAAATAGGTACATAGAATACATAGATAGGACCTATTAGAGTTTACATCGGCGAAATAATAAAAATTTAAAACTATAAAATATAAAAATATAGATAAATACGATGTATACAATATTTAAAAAAGTATTTCACATTGTAACTTAAAAATGGAAATATACGATATTTATTTATATCTTTTATATAATTCATTGTTACATCCAAAAATCTATATTTATATTTGAAATAGACATTCGGGCTGGTGAAAATGTGAGGTGCATCTGCAAATATGAAAGTCTTGTACACCTACACGGGTTCAATATTTCGTTCCTTAATATCAAATGCATAATTTAGTTTATTTGTATTCATCTCATTGACTATTCAATATATCAATATAATACATAAGATAATATTTAATGTATTATGTACTATGAAAAAACTAAATACGCATGCTGTTCTATTACTTGAAATTCAAATGTATTTATTTCGGGACTTCATAATTTCCAATACCTACATAATAATTCACAAATTTTAGATTCTGAAAAGCACAGATTTATCTCCATTTATGATGGAGAGGATGATGAGGTTGATCCCTCATTGACCTTTTTTTTTTGTTTTTACGTTATTTTAGGTACCGTTTATTTATAATCATAAAATACCAGTGTTTTATTATAACTGTGGACAAAATATAACAAATCGACATTTAAACAAATAAACTTTCACTAACAACAAGAAAATAAAATTTTATTGTTATAAAAAATAAAAAAACAATGATTCTGCATGCCTGACAATCAAATGTTATCATTTTCAAATAACTAAAGGTCAATATTATATTATTTTAATATGTAATAAAAATTATCAGTCATTGAAATACACACTCTACTATAATGTTCCTTGTTTATATGATTTATTGGTGAATGTATAATATTGGCATATAATCAATAATTATTAATGTTATATATTGCCTAATCAAATTGAATGTGCTAAAATATTCAAATTTACATTACTAAAACTGTAAACACATTTGAATAATATGTAATAAATATTTGGTTCAAATGTTCAATACGAAACTTATTAAATCTATAAAATCAAGTTTATAGTATTAGAATATTCAATAAATTTAATGAGAATCAGACAATACGATCATAAATAATAAATAAAACAACGATATACATCTATATATGTATGGTAATATGAGTGTATGTAATAGAGAAAATATACATTTTAGCGTATCTGCGTAAGCAACAAAGGTCAGGTACGATGGATATTTAAGGTTAATACTCATTATTCTATAAATAATAATGTACCTATTATTAACCAAATAACAGTAAACAACTACCACATTTTCAAAAATTTATGAGCGGCTAAAAATGGTCAAATCATTTGAACAATACGTATTTTAACAGGTTTTTTTTCGTATTTTACTATACCTAAATTGTCCACCATAAACAAAATGCATGAATAGAAAATGTTTAAAAATTAAATAGTACTGGTAGGACTCGAAAAAACCTTCACACTGGTTGTTATGGAATTACCTTGTATACATTTTTCAAGTAGGTATAATAAACATTTTTCAAATTTAACAAACAAGTGAAGTAAAAGTAAATAGAGAGTAGAAGCAATAGTAAGTTTAGCTTAGTATAATTTAACTTGTTCGTTAACTTTTGAGCATAGACAAAGATAATATACAAAAACCTAAGTTTTTCGTGTATTGTTTGATATTATGATATTATGGAATAACAGGTCATTTACATGAATAACAATTGTTTAAGTTGAACTAAATTGAATCAGTGAATGAATTAAAAACAATATTTAAATTATGCAGAACTAAGTGATGGTATTCTGCAAAAATATAAACTCTGAAAGCTCAAAATATAAATAAATTAAAAATGAATGCTAATAATGACACCGTTGAGTAGGACAAACTCTTCAAAACACTTTCGATAATAGCCCACCTACGTAGCTACACTACTTTTGACAATTACTCTTTAATAGGATTAATTTCTGAAGTTCAGAATGTTCAGATATATATTTAGAATATGTACTAAAACTGTGTGTAAATACTGTTTTTAATGGTACTTAATGAAAGTTTATACTTTAGCTGGGCGCAATAACATTTACAATTTTAAAGTAATCAAATATTGAAATTAATGATTTATTACTATTTTACTGAACTTTATTTATTTTATTGATGGATAAATATTATTTTGGGTTTATAAACATCAATGAAAAAAAAACTAAATTTCGGATCGGATAAAACTAGAGTTTTAAAAATATTTTCAAAATACAACTACAACATAATTGAGACTTCGAGTCTTCAATATGTATTCATATTGAATAGTTTTAAAAGTCATAATTTGAATACACCTAATTAATAGTTATCTTCAATTAGTAATTATTATACACTGTACAGCAAAAAATACTCAGAATCTCAGATGATAACCGACTGAGAACAATATTATAATCAATAATACTGGTTAAATATAGGTTTTACTTGATTTATTCCATACAATTTTTGTTTTTTCTTTGTGACAAAAGATATTCAAATTTACTAGTACAATTCCAAAATATATTGTTTTAGAAGTATAACAGAGAATGTCTACATATTTGTTTTTATAAAATCCAAGACTTTTTAGCTAAGTTGTAATGGACAGGCTTTTTCTTGACGTGCAGTACGGCTATGTAAATTAGCATTTTTTAATCACCAAACAATTGTTTCGTGAACTTATTTAAATTAATTTGTTCTTTAATCATATGATAACTTAATGTAGGATCCTCTTTTGCTCAACAAATTTTAAAACTTTCTTCCGTGCTAGTTGTAGAA